TTGCATGTAGGCACAATGACAGCCATGGGAAAAATTAAATTGAGCGCATAAAAAATAAAAACAACCGGGAAAAGCAACCGCACTAATGCATCATACGTAATTGCAACATTGCCAGCCAGGCAGCCAGTCAGTCAACCAGCCAAAAACGGCTACGGCGGATATTTGTGGTAACATTGAAGAAAAAAACACCACACTTGCTGTTGCTGCAACAAAACTACAGGCATGAATGTACACCGTCCGGTTGTTGGAATGGCAGCAATCGCGTCTGTCTGCCCCACCGTGAACTTGACATTGCAACGCATTTTGATGCTAGAGCAAACGTTGTTTGCTGCTTATAAAATATGCCGGCCGGCGAAAATTGCCAAAGCGAATAACTACAGTCAGTTCATATCTGTCGATATGTAATAGTTGATATATTTGGTTTGCAATAGCAACATTTTGTTGCATGCAGCAATGTTGTGTCGCGTGTGGCACGTTGCACTGCCGCTTTTGATTTCGCACTTTGTATCAGCTTTGCTGTCATTATGCATTTATTTTCTGGTTTTTAGTTACATTTTTCTTCTTCTTCTTCTTCTTGTCATTGCCAAGTTACTTTCTTACTTGCGATTGCAACATCATTTGATTTCATTTGCTTTTACAACTCTGAATGTTGCTGATTACCAGTCGGTTGGCTCAGTAAGTGTTTACCTTTTTAAGGTAGAATTTTTTGCAACAAGTTATTCTTGTTTACTTAAATAAAACTCGTCGATAATACACATGTACGTGTTAGTGCTCTTTATTTGTTTGTTTGTTTGTCCGTGTTTGTAAGACTGCTTCCTTTTTGCCACTGCCGATAAAAAGTGGTGTCTGTTTGATTTCCTTTGGTGTCTGATTTTATCTGCAGGTTTCTTGAGACCATCGTACAGCCAGGCCTCATTGCTTTTAAGCATAAATTGTGGAAACCAATGCGAGTACATACATACATACTTATGGGCATGCAGCATATATGTACATAAATGTTGCATCACAAGGACATTGACCCTTTTTTGGCAGAAATTTGTATTTTTCGGCACATTGCTAACCCTTGAGAAAGAGCTCAAAATTTGTATGATGATAATTTTTTACAACAAAAAAAGATAATTTTTTAATTTAATTTTGTGGTGTGTTTACTTATGCGAAAATGGAAAAGATTTTGTTTTTTCATTCTAAGTACGAGTCTGTATTAAAATATTTATTAATTATTATATAATAATAATTATAATAATATTAATAATTATTTCTTCAGAAAAACTTTCAATATTATATGGTACAAAATCGCATCTTAAACAAAATTTGGAACATGGTCAAATTCAATATTTAGTATTATAGTTAACTCCACTTTTCGGTCCAAATAATGCGGGTGACAAATGGGCTCGCTTATTTGCATAAACAGCCTTTATTTGCTTTAACTCATGCATTTCCTCTTTCAAATGCGCATAAGCAGCCGAACAAATACACCAAACTTTTGGTAATTAACTCGGATCAGGGGAGTTTTCGAGATGACAACACTGGTAAAAACGGCAAGCTGTTGTCTTTTGAAGACAACTCCTGCCTGGCTACTACTCTTTCTTAATCAGATGATAGTGATTTCTGCAAAGCATTAATAATAATACTAACCATATTCTTATAAAAAATTAGTGGAAAAAAGTTAAAATTAGAAAAGTGTGCATACATTGTGAATAATTCTGTGTGTCAATAATTATAAATTTAATTTAATTAAATATTTTTAAATAAATTAAATTTTAAGTAAAAGAAAAAACAATATTCTTTCAAAATGAAATACATACATATGTACATATGTATGTACATACCAGAGCTGTAAAATGATTGAATCAACATAGTCTGCATTCA